CCCATATATGGTTCTCCTGGTAGCTATTAGTATAATTTTAACTGTGCCCTGTCTTAGGGCATATTTATTTTATTGTCCTCCATCAAATATGAGAGGAAATAGTGCTGATCTAGCATAAGTCAACAAACATCTCAGCTATGAGCACCAACACACCTGAGTCAAAAATGGGAAAGACTCAATTGCCACTAGCTATTATTTTAAATGAAATAATTTTCCTCTAGCTTTTTTTCACAATAACATGCAAAAACTACAAAAATAAATTTGTGACTTGAAATCTTAGCTCACAAAAACTTGCCAGGAGCCCAGGCAGTAAACAACTGGGGATTATATGACAAGAGGTGACAGAAAGTATAAGTTTTGGGGTACTTTTAGGAAACATTTATTAGGGAACATATATTCCTTTAACAATAATTAGCATACATCAAGGTTTGGAATATTGACTTGGTTTGATAGCATACATTCTTTTTTTAAAGCAGCTTATAAACTTATCTCTGGATAACTTCATCCCTCATAAAGAAAATGTCTGTGAATGACTCCACCCCAATAAATGAGGAAATAAAATATCTATCAAATCAAGATTTATTGAAACAAAACCATTTTGAACATTTTTTGGAGTTTGTTTCATAAATTCCTATCTTCTAAACAATAACAACTTTTGTCATGTTAGAATCTCATTGACACACCATTACTATCTTTTAGCAGAGAATATTCCCGTTAGTCATCCCTAAGAAAGACATTTTACCTCCTTTCTCTTTCCTTTCTTTTCCTTCTCTGAAAGTACCAAACACCAATGAATCAACTAAGTAGGGGATATAAAGAACTGCAAAGTAAAGGTTAAAAAAGTTAATCAAGGTAGCCTTGTCAAGTGTTGATTGCTGGAGTAAACCCATCAGTTATGACAACATCCAGGTCATTTTGATTTGAGACTACATCAATCCACTTTTAGTATCTAAACAACGAGAAGATTTTGTAGTCAGACCCACTGGATCTATCGGTTTCTCATGAGCAATCCTTTAAACTCACTACCTCTGTGACTGTAAAGGAGTATCTCCTTAATGAGCTATTAGAAAAGTTAAATGAGATTCTGTAACAAATCATAATGCAAATTGTTTGCTGATATACTATTAAGAGTAATACAATGCAAAACTAATTTGGTTTTTGTTTTTTGAGACAGGGTTTGTCATTTATCTTTGACTGTCCTGAAATCACTTTGTAGCCTCAAACTCACAGAGATCCACCTTCCTCTGCCTCCTAAGAGCTAGGATTAAAGGCATGAGCCATTACCACCTGATCGATACAAACTAATTTCATCCCTTCTCAACACCTTTAGAAAGAGCCAGAGAAAGGGAGCAAGATGTTTCAAAATCTAAAACTACATGATGGGATACTAAACCAGGTTAGAGGGGCTGGAAGTATAGTCCAGCAGCAAAGCATATGCAAGGCCTTGAGTGTTACCACAGCACATCAAGAAAAGAACCCATAAGAGATATGAAATTAGGAAAGCTTTTATTTCTCACCTTATCTAAATGTTCATCAAAGGAGTAGAAACAAAGATTTTTTACTGTTCATGTGTTCCCTGATGTTTTTCAGATATAACAGCCAATATGTTTTGCCAATTCCTTTAATGATAACTTAATATATTAAGTACACAGAAGGAAATGCATGAAAGAAAACCATAATGTTCTCTTTCTGCTTTTATACAATGTGAATATCCAACTTTGATCATCTTTTTACATCACTAAATAAAATAAGCAAGCAGGTATGCTTTACCCAAGCATTGCACCTGCTGTGTTAAAGCACAAGGTTTCCTTAGACTAACTTTATTCCGTACGAGAGCTAGTACACAAAAAGAATAACTCCTCTAAGTGTGCCATGTGAGGTGAAATGGGAATAACCCTGCTCAAGGCTAGATATGCCCCCTATTATTCTTAATATACTCTTGTACATCTGGAGCACCTCAAGTCTTCACTTGAATACATAAGCATAAATATATTTAGTGTATAAAATGGGGAAAAATTATTTTGCATCTTTGAAAAGGGCCCTTCCCTACTAGCTTATCATCTGAGTAAATATGATGGGAAGCAGAAGCTATAAAAGGATCTAGTGATAGGATCTTAGGGAAATGTGAGAACTCAAATGATCAAAATAAACGGTTTGTGTTTTTACTGTAAATGAACATCTTAATCAAAACTTGTTCAAAAATAAAAAGTTAAAAATGCACTGAACTGCAGAAAGCTGGGAAGGGGAAGGAGAAAGGAAACGTTTACCTGAAGCATCTCCAACTTTAAAATCACTGTCATCTGAACTATCATAATCAAGAGCTTCCAGAAGAGAAGCGGCCAAAGGCTTCACCTGCCTCCTCTTGGAGCTGCGATCCACTGTTAAGAGAAAATATTACAGTCATTTTACAATCTCACCAAACAGGTAAAGGGAGATGGCAATGACTTCACGCAGGCAATCTCTAATTGAGTTCTCCACACACTGCTTGGGGATCAGTTAGGTTTGGGGACGCTGCCGGCAGAAGGCCTGGTAGCCCCTGAGCTGCGGCTAAGACCAAATCAAACCAGCCAAAATCCTCGAGGACCCCCGCCTAACTTCTTTGACTACTCGGTAACCCCTCCTTCAGACACCACAAGGTCCGGAAACGTACAGCCCACGGCATCCCCGAAGTCCGGGCTCACTCTAGAGGACCACAGAGCAGCTCCTAGCAAGGGGCCTGTCCTGTAGGACCCGCCCAGCCCTCCCTGCGCCGCAAACCCTGACTTCGGGAAGGAAGAAGCGAGAGGGGCTGAGGCCTCGGGTACACTTACTAAGGAGTCCGTGAGGTGGTCGTTTGGAGACCTAGAGAGAGGCTGCGGAGGGACGCGCAGAGGGTCAAGGAGTCAAGTCCGAGAGCAGCTATTTAAGCGGGTCGGTGCGCCGACCGAGCAGGGGCGACCCCGGGGGCGGGTCACCGTCCCTCCCCCCGCCCCGCGCCCGCCCGGCGCCCCTTGCCCCGCGCTCCCCGGCCGGAGGCGCCAGGCCCGACCCGGCCTCCCTGCGAGGGGAACTGCCCGGGTAAAAACCAGAAGTAAAAAGATCACTTTATTAGCCTACACCAGAAACAACAAAAGACCCAGGGTTTCCACAGTCGGAGGCTGACTGTCAGAGACAATAGGAAGAACGACCCGGATACAGCTCTGACAAGAAGGAAGTGAAAACCAGCGCCCGAAAGCCGTTGCCAGCAGCAGGCGCGAGAGCGCGTGCGCAGACGCGCTCCCTCCCCTCCCCCCCCAGCCGAGAGCAGCCGAGTTAAACCGACTGGAGCCGAGTCACTTCAAGAGGGATCAGAGAGCTCACGCACAACCCCTGAAGCTCCGCCCACAGCCTCGGGAAGCCTAGACCTCTCTGAAACCGTTCCCCACCTCCCAAAGGTCATATAAGATCAGTTGCTGATTCTGCTTCAGGTGTGTTATCTTAAAGGACTACTGCAAACCACCGCCACCTACTGCTTCACTGAGTTGCTTTTCCTTAAATAGGATGCCCAAAAGTGTATTTTCTGCCAAAGGTTTGTAAAGGAGAATTGTTCTGTCACACACAGAGGGAGTTTTGTTTTTTCAGTAAGATCCTTATCATAATGACTAATTCTTTTGATATGACCTAGAGCTTGTTTAAACACTTAATGTATCTCACCAGCTATTCCTCTCTCCGAAAGACAATTACCCTGCCTAGTCAACCTCAGATGCTATGATAAGCCTTCCAAACTATGAAGGACATTATAATATTTAATAAATGAGACGTGCTCCCCCTACCCCATACGTAAAAATGTAATGCCTAACCAATAGGGTAAACTCTGAATGAGAATTCCGAGAAAGAAGGCTGATTGGTTGGAACTGTAGCGATGTGGAGAAGGTGGAATGTTACAATTCCAGAACTTAATTACAAATTGCCTGCGTACCCATTCCTTGCCCACCTCCATGTCATATCTAACGTTGTGTGACTAACAGATAAAAATCTGTTTGGAATGGGCTAACTTAACAAAACCCTAGTTCACCACCAATCAAAGGACTGAGAATGTTGTCAGTGTCCAAGGCCTAGAGCAGAGTTCTCTCCATGTTGCCATAACCCACCTACCTGATACACCCACCAAAGTATCTGAAGTGTCTTGATTCATGGGTTTCTTCTGTAACTATAAGAAGTTCAAGAAATCGCAACCTCATTAGAACATGGTGTTTGGAAAGATCTAAATCTATGTTCCCAAGCCATAGTTAGTCCCAAACTAAACTCTTGTCCTCACTGAGAAGAGAGCTATGTTTTTGCATACTTATTAAATGTAAAAGTCATATTAGAGTTGAATTAATTGCTGTTTTGAAAAGGATTAATCTCACAGAGAAAATTTATCCATTTAACTGTATTAACTCTCATATAAATTAAAACTACTTGGAGATATCATCTTACAGAATGGCCAAGATGAATAAAATAAACGGCCTTGTTTAACAACTAGAACAGAATAAAAGAAGTGACCTGGTGAGGATGTGGGGAGAGGGGAGCACTTAGTCACTGATGGAGGGAGTGAAACTGGTAGAGCTACTGTAGAAATCAGAATGGAGGTGCCCAAGGAAGCTGAGACTCTTTCTATCTCAAGATCCAGCTATACCACTCTTGGGCATAGATCCTGAGGGCTTTACATCTTACTGCAGAGGTATTTTGCTCATCTATGTTCATTGCTATTCTATTCATAATAGCCAAAAATTAGAAACATCATAGATGTCCACGATTGATGTTCATTTTAGATGTCCAAGCTCATGACTGGATAATAAAAATGTGGTACATTTACACAATGGAATACTATTCAGCAGTTAAGAAAAATGAAATTTACAGGTAAGTGGATGGAGCTAGAAAAAAAAAAAAATCATCCTGAGTCAGATAACCCAGACCCAAAAAGACATTGTCTTTTTCAATGTTAGGAACATAAGAAAAAGAAAAGTTTTCTGTAATTCTGAACATTTTCTGTGCCTTAGAAGCAAGCCCCTGAACGGGAGAATCAGCACTCTAGCCGCCTGCAGCCCCAACCTGGGAAGAAGATGCTAATTAAAGTGAAGACGCTGACTGGAAAGGAGATTGAGATTGACATTGAACCCACAGACAAGGTGGAGCGAATCAAGGAGCCTGTGGAAGAGAAAGAGGGAATTCCCCCACAACAGCAGCGGCTCATCTACAGTGGCCAACAAATGAATAAGAAGACGGCAGCTGATTACAAGATTCTAGGTGGTTCCGTCCTCCACCCGGTGTTGGCTCTTAGAGGAGGCGGTGGTCTCGGGCAATGATGAACCTTGGTTCCATTTTACGTCCTCTCCCTGTCGCTCATAATGAAGCATCACGTATCCTCTCACTCTCTGGGACACCAGAACTACTGCCCCCTCCCTCGGATGCCCAATCTTGTGTGTCTACTGGTGGGAGAATGTGAGGCCCTCAGAGTGCAGTGTTCCTGGCCCAAATGGCCCTTACTGGCTGTTGGGTTTTAGTTTGCAGTCCTGTGTGCTTCCCTCTCTTATGGCTGTGCCCTTGGTTGTCAATAAAGTATTTCCTGGCCTTCTGGAAAAAAAAAAAAAAAAAAAAAAAGAAGCAAGCCCCTGCCTCGGATAAAATCCAATCCCAGGACGGCCTTGATATGCTAATAAATGGATCACAAGGTGATGTTGTAGTTGAACCAGCCCCAAAATGCCCAATGAAATGAAACAAAAATTAAAAATTAGAACTTTAGGAAAGGTCTCTAAAATCTCACTCATCAGAGCGTTCCCCTCTTGATAACACATCCAGATGGGACTTGAAACTGTGCGTGTGTGTGTGTGTATGTGTGTGTCCCTGGCTTTGGTGACAGCTGAACACCCTGGCACTGTTGGTGGAATCACAGACCTCTTATCAGTGCTAGTTGCTGGCAGCACTCCCAGGACTTACTGGTCCTCCAACAGTCCAACGGTGCATGTCTTCAGCCTGACACAGCTGCAGGACTTCGGCGAAGATGTGGGTCAATTATGCAAGCTTCCAAAGCTTTCTCACCTGAGAAGATCCCCCAGTGGAACACAGCAGCAGCATTTCTTCAGTACCATCTCAACTCTTCCCCACTTGTTGAGATGTCTGATTAACTTTTATATTAGCATGATAGTATATAGAATGTTTCTGTGAATAAACCACAAATATTTGAAAGACAAATCTTGTGTAGACATTCTAATTGCCAAGCGCATTGGCAACCCATAGGTGGTGCTTTCTGCAGTGTAGATGTTAGCTTTAAAGGTTTTGAAATGTGTGCTACATTCCAAATAACCACAGAGGTTACAAACCTAGTAAGGTATTTAGGGGTGGGAGGGTCTCCCAAGGAAGGGGAAATAGAATATAGTGTTATGGAAGATGAAAATAACAGGGGGATTGGGGGAGGAAAACTAACACTAAAGGCCTTTTGAAGAAAAGATAATGGAAACCTGTTTACTGCTCTAGAGGCAGTGGGACCTGGGAGAATGGAGCCTAAAAATGAAGTAGACTAACTTCTCATGCAATAATCAACTTTATTCAGATCATCAGACAAGTTATATTCTAAGCATTAAAAAGAATCACATAAGTATAAAATCACAAGGACAAGCAGCACAGGGTAAAAACATGTTTTTCCACAGAGGTAATAAACAAATAACAATATCCACTTGTAATGAATAATTCACTCCTATCCGCTACTCCTGGTCCGAGCAGAAAAACACATTCCAAGAACCATTATGTGTTTTGAAGAAACTGGAGTCTTACAAGCACTCAGAATTCTCCTCACAAAACTCCATTCCAGGACTGTAACAGAAGCCTACATATATACTATGAATGGATTTTAAATAGAGTATATTTACCCCCCAACACACACATACTAGGGGAGACAACGACTCAACTAGCTATGTTATCCCACCAAGTAAAAACTTCAGTGCTGGGAAAGGTTTATATCTTGTTAAGTCACTAGCCAAATAGGTTCCAAAGAACACTTCAAAAATCAAAGACTATTACTTGCCTTATACAACCTGATGGTAAGTCCCTATTGCTGAAGAAACTTTTTACTTATATAATTGAACACAGAGACATCAAGCTGGTGCTCACCTAGAATTTTCAAGCCTGGTGGCTAGTGTTTATGGTGCTTCTGGCACTCTGAATAATTACGACCCCATAGACTCATGTGTTTGAATGCTTGGCCCATAGAGAGTGGCACTATTAGGTGTTGCCTTGTTGGAGTAGGTGTGGCCTTGTTAGAGGAAGTATGTCACTGTAGGAGTAGGCTTTGAGGTCTCCTATGAAAGCTACACCTACTTTGGCACACAGTTCCCTTCTGTGACCTGTGAAACAAGATGTAAAACTCTCAGCACCACATCTGCCTGGATGCTGTCATGCTTCCCACCATAATGATCATGGACTAAATCTCTGAAACTGTAAGCCACCCCCAATTAAAGGTTTCCCTTTCTAAGAGTTGCCCTGTCATGGTGTCTCTTCACAGCAATAAAACCCAAGACAGTGCTAGAAGTATGCTCTGGGCACAAGAAGAAGATAACCATCAATATCACCAGCCACAAACACTGAGAGCTATTCTAATGCAATAGTGGCACAAAGGTTATGGGAGTAACCAACTACTCTTTGATAGGAAAGCATTCTAAATAAATAAACCACAGTGCTCACTATTACTAAGAGGAAAAAAAAAAACATAAAGAATACAACTGTGGCAGAATTCCTCTCACAAGTATATTGTAGATTTGTTTATCTTTTTTGTTGTTGTTGGGTTTTTTTTTTTTTTGAGGGCCAGTCTTGCCCATAACTTGTCCAGCCTGATCTTGAAGTCACAATAATTACCTGTAATAACCTCTCAAGTGCTGGGATTACAGGAATGTTCCACCATGCCCGGTTTGGTAAGTTTCTCAGGCTGTGTGTGTACAAAACAGGAAATAGTATCTGGTATCTAATTACAGAAATTGTTTAAGATTATTTTTAGGTCTATTAAAAATGGGAGAAATATGAACTAGATATGGTAGCAATTCAACAGTTTCAGATGCCACATTCTATTCTAAGAAGCTATTAAAACATTATGATCTGAGAAGGATGTGGTGATACATGCATTTAATCCCAGTATTCAGGAAAGCAGAGGAAGGCCGATTCAACCAGTGTGAGTTCAAGGCCAGCCTGCTCTACAAAATCCAGGACAGCCAAGGCTACACAAAGAAACCCTGTCTCACAAAACCAAAAAAAAAAAAAAAAAAAAAAGAATTAAATAGATATGAAACAGTCCTAACAGTTTTTAAGCTGCTCTTATGTTGAGATCAGACAAAGCTTCGAAGAAAAATAGATTCATTCATTTATTACACAAATATATGTTGTATGGCAGTATGTTTAGCATGGGAAATGAATTGCTTTGAAAAACTGCAAATGAAATTTGTAGACATCAAATCACAGAATGCAATGAGAAACTAACTCTTAAAAAAACTTTCACTAAAACATTTAATAAATATCATGCATAGCAATTTAGGGAATGCACCTTATGAATGCACCTTATTGTCTTTTCCCTGCCACAGCATAAGATACACTGAAGATATAATCAAGTTAATTACTGTTTGTTACTCTGGGCAACCAGAGAAAGAATACACATGCTAAGAAAGGAGAAACCACGAAGGCAAAGAATCTTAGAGAAATCTATATTTGTATTCAGACACAAAAAATTAAAGTGCATCTGAACTGGGGACTAGGGTGAGCAGTAAAGGGAGACAGATGTTTAAAACCCAGAAACTCCCAAAGCTAGAAGCATGTTGAGACTAAAAATCTGATTGGCACACTGATGTGTTTAAGAAAAGAATAAATTACTTCTTTGAAATTAAGATTCATTTGATTTGGTTTGGCTCACAACACAAGGAGAATGTTATTACCAATAAAAAGAAGATATTACAATAAGAAATACTTAAATGATCACATGTGCTCATCTGAATAAAATGCCTATTGATCACAGTCAATGTGGCAACAAGTACTTCTTATAATAGGACATTAAGATGAAACAAAAATTCAATAAATTAATGGCCTGAACTGGACTGAAAAGCCATCCTAGGAAATGATTATGATATATATATATATATATATGTATGTTTGTGTGTGTGTGTTTATTTAAAACTCTGGGCTTTTGCTCATATATATTAAATATTATATATTAAATATATAATGTGTGTATATGATAAACAAAAGCCCAGAGTTTTAAATTCTGCCTCAAAACTTGTGTTAAGAAATATAGCTTCTCTGTTACTGAAAACTAGGATTTCTCAGTGAGGCCACCATGGATATTTTGGCCGAGATAATGTGCTGTAGAAGGGGATCCTGTGTTTGTAAGGTGTTCCAGCCCCTTCTCTCCCCAGTACAAGCCAATAACTGCTCACCTTCACTCAGGCTGTGACAACTGAAAATGTAGCCACACTTTGACAAATGTCCCTTAGAACAAAAAGTCAATAGCAGTAACCTCACTTGTGCTTCTGAGAATCATTGCTCTAGAAGAATGTCATCTCACAAAATTATTGAACAATGCCAAAAGCCAGTGAACCTGAATCCACAGGTTGAGATTTCAGACAAGTTTGTGAGCATTAAGTATATTGATTGCTTAGGATACCTGAAGAACTGAGAATAGGCTACAAAATCAGAGAGCCTCTCTTCGTCAGTGTGATTAGACCTTTCTTTCTTGTTGAAATTGGACTCATCTGTGCTCTACATATGTATGATGGGTCTCAGAGTCCTAGAAATGGGATTGCAGATCTGACTTATGTTTAGCCATAAGAAGAGATTTGAAAATAGAAGAAGACAGTAGCTAATTACCTGTAGTGTATCAACAAACTGGAATACAGAGCTGCCTATCTTGTTGAAGATATTCTAATGCAGGCCCTTTCCTAAGATATAATGACGTTGCAAAGAATGCTGTGTAGACAGTTTCACGTCATTCTGACACAAGCTAGAGTCATCAGAGAGGAGGAAGCCTCAACTGAGAAAATGCCTCCACAAGAGTGGGCCACCTAAGCAGGTAGTCCTGTGTTCTAAAAGAAAGTAGGCTGTGCAAGCCATATGCAGCAAATCAGTAAAAGCACCACTCCATTGCTCTGCATCACCTTTTGCCTTCAGGATCCTGCCCTGTTTGAGTTCCTCTCTTGACTTCTTTCAGTTATGTACTATGGTGTGGAAGTATAAGCCAAAAACCAACCAAACAAACAAACAAAAAACAAACAAGCCCTTTCCTCCACCACTTGCTTTGTTCACAGTGTTTCATCACAGTAATACTAACCCAGACTAAGACAACTGGCAAATCTTCTCTTGTCCACTTCTGTTGCATCTACACACTGAATCTCAAATTAGAGTGGGACCCTAAATTATGACCTTAAGGGAAATGATGTTTTCCCTTATACTAGGAATAATTTTGTATATTTGGTGACAGAATAATTTTATTGCTACTGTTACTGTAAGAAGGGTTATTTGTAGACAGGAAGATGTGGCTGCCAAGGAGATAAAGCAGAACACTAACATTTGAGCCAGTCTGCCCTCATTATGGGCATCTC